CGGGTAGGAGCAGGATGGGGAGGGTAGCTCTGCCCAGGGGCGGGCCCCAGTGGAGGCAGAGTGCGCGGGGGAAACCTCCGCCCTAGGAACTGGGGCTGGAGCTTCGGACGCCGAGCGTAGCCCTCGGAGGCAACCCGGGGTGGGGAGGAGCGGGGTGCGGTGGAAGTTCGCTCTAGGGTCCGCGCGGCAAGGAAACTGGGTGGCGGGTCCCGCGCACTTTTCAGTTGGCCAGCTGGGCTCGGAAGCCGCTCCTAGTCCGCCCCGGAGATGCAGGGGAACCAGGGCGGGGGAGGATAGAGCCTAGGCTAGAGGATCCATTGGCGCCTCCACCCACCTTTTCCTCAACGCCTTTCTGAACGCTAGTTTGGACCGGTTCCGGGATCCAAACTCATTGAGGTAAAACAGGTTTCCGCCCCACCCCATCTCATCCCTCCCCACCCACCTGAGTGTGGGCACTATGCGCAACTTGTGACCAAGGTTAGAGACAGAATCAAGTGTGTTTAAAGATGGGCTGGGATTGCCTCCCGGCCGCTTCTTAGCGATTGCTGTGAAAACGCTGGCAGGCGCCTGGCTTGATTGTTAGTCGTGTTAGGAGCCTCGAACTGGCTCTTGTGGACCGTACAAAGACAGGGCAGGCATTTTCAGTAAAAAAGCCTTTACAGTTAAAAAAAAAATCTAAAAAGACCGAGATAGACACATTACATACAGGCCAAGGCCTGCAAAACTACAAATATACAATTCATTTAGTGTCATTTTAAAGCCGTGTACATGCTAAGAACCGATAGCAAAAGACTCCTTTTGTGTCCTTCCCGTCAGTAAGAATATATTTTAGCTGTATGTTACTGCCTAAAAGAGAGACCAACCAGCTATGTGAAAGAGGAGCATGCTGAAACTTAAACCGACAAGATGAATGAGCGATACTAAAAGAAAAAGATCCCAAGTTTACTCGCAGCTCAAAAAACACAATGACAAAACGATGTGTGCGTCTCTCCATAGCTTTAAAACGAGTTTATATTACACGAGAAGTAGAAACTGTGGGGAACATGAGCAGTCACTAATTGATATAAAAACATTACAATTTTATATTAGAAAATTCTGCTAAAAATCTTAACCAGCTACCTCTTGCAATGTTAAGTATAAAGTTGAAGTTGTAGAAAAATACAAGGGTTTGGGGTTCAATATACTTGTTTTAGTGTCACTTCCATTACATATGACCTCTTTGACCTCAAAAACTGTACTTAATTTCTCTAAGCCTCAGTGTTCTCATCTTTATCATGGGATCATTGTTTCTACTTTATGAATTTGCTTAAGTTGTATAGTAACTAACATAAAATGTAAATCATTCAGCCCAATGCCTCCCTCCAAATGCGTAATGGTATTTAGGATGATTTGTTTTTTAGAGGTTTTTGCCTTAGGGCGTGTGTGCTCTCCTCAGAGAGTCAGAGATAGTGAGAGAGAAAGTGAGAAATCACTCCTCAAGGAGGGTGGTCATGCTGCGATCCCTTCTTCTCCATGCTCCTTTCAGGATCTTGGGCATGCACACACATGTGCCTGGTGTGATTTTCAAGCCACCAGGTCCAGAACTTGAACTGTGATCAGTCATGTGGGAGTCCAGCAGTGTAACCACTTACATCATCTGCTGGTCCCTTATCATTATTACTATATTATTATTATATTTTCTGTTTTACTTTAATCTATTAGTCTCGCTAGCCAAATTAAGGATTAGATTTCAGCCAATGGTACTAGTTATCCTCATGAATTCACAGAATGCTCAATAAATTTACCTTTTTTTTTTTTTTAAGTTTAATGTCTTTCCTTCCATGAATGAGGGAGACAGAGCAAGAGAAACAGAATGACAGCACTCCAACAGGGTCTTGACTCTAAGATCCACCCCCAGTTTCAGCCGGTCTGGGTCATGGGCACATGGGCCTGTTGTGCTCAGGGAGGTCTCCGGAGGTGAGCATGGAACCTTCCGACGTGGGTCAGCCTCACAGACCATCGCATTTTCCCTCAGAAAGCAATAAATCTCCCCCCCCAGGGGGAACGGCCACACCTCAATCCCTTTCTCTTCCATTCTCCTCTTGGGATTTTGGGCCCATACGTGCACATGCCTTGTGTGACTTTTTTAAGCCACCAAGTCCAAGACTCAAACCACAGTCAACTACATAGGAATCCAGCAACATAACCATTATGCCATCTTCTGGTCCCAATTCTTGGCAAATCTTAAAGGAATTATACAGTTCACCATTGGACAACACAGGTTTGAATTGCCTGGGTCTACATATATGTAATATTTTTTTTCAGTAAATACTGTAAATGTTTTTTTTCTTCCTTATAATTTTTTAAATAACACTTTACCACTTGCATTATTGTAAGAATATATTATATAGAATGAGGCATTTTCAAAATGTTAGTGGAAAATTCATAATATGAAAAAACTTGTGCATGGATTTCAAACTTTTTTTTGCACCGGACTAAACCCATACTTTAATTCTGTTTTCCCATGAACTTTTTGAAGTACCTTTCTCTTACAAATGATGTGTTGATTGACTTTTTATGCTATTAGGGAGGCTTCCAGTCCATGGTGGGTTATCAGTAGTTAAGTTTGGGGGATTTTCGATTGTGCAGATGTTAGGTGCCCTTAAAGCCCCACATTGTTCAAGGGTAAACTGTCCTTCTGTTTCATGGACGTTTATGTGCATGAATGGACTGAATGCATCTAGGTAACAGTCCAGACAGACAGCATTACCTGAAAGCTTGTGCAAAGGTTTGCAGAAGCAGGAAGGATCAAAGCAAAGCTCTCGCCTCCTTGGTTACTGTTAGATGATTATCATTCCACAGCGTGAGGATAACACATTTTATCTTAGTAATAACCTATGTCCCTATAGCATTCCTTAGTTTACAAAATACTTTCACTAGGCGCTCACTCCCATTTGCTCACTTTCCCATACTCTTCCTTCCTCTGGACCTCCAGTTATTTATCTCAGTTTGCAAAAGTAGTCAGAAATGTCAACAGAAAAGTCCATAGAAAACAGTGAACTTGACGCCAGCAAGGCTTTAAAGGTCAAGCCAAAAGTCATTTCCTCATCATTGTACTCCGCTTCTGACTAATCAAAAGAAGCAGGTCATGGAGCAGGCCAAGGACCTAGTGGTTCCTGGCTCTGGGGTAAACAAAAAATTGCTAACTCTGGGCTCTATACACCTTCCAAGGCCACAGTTGACAGCCCTGTCACCTAGTATTTGTCCAAGGTGGGTGGGAAGGAGGTGGGGGAAAGAACAGAAAGGTATTGGGTCTGAGAGAACCTGTTTACATCCTTATTTGCACGTGGGAGATAAACACATTCTCTTTTTTGGAGACTCTGGAAAGAGGGGTGTTGTGCAAACCAAATTGAAACAGCTTTGAATAATATCTGATAGATAATATTGTTCATTTTATTTTAGAGTTGGTCTAGAACTTTAGGATCAGACCTTATAAAATCCCACTCCTCTTCCCTCACTCTCCTAGAACTTGAAATGTTAAGAATCTACGCGAAGGTGAGCCGTGTCTTCCAAATGTGCACTGGTATTACTAGTGGATTCCTCCCCAGTGACCAGCTGAAAAACTTCGATGCAGGGTTTCTTACAAAAGCTGGTTATCAGTTTTGCTCTCTCTGCTTTTCAAATGCTGGGGGTTAGTCACAAGACAAAGTGGACCAGAGGAGAACAGATCTGGGCAATATCTACTTTGAAGGAGTATAAGCGACCATTTCTTTCCCCGCCTACTGTGAGCAGGCACTTCGTGTACATTTGAGTTTGAAATGACAACAAGCCTGTGAGAAAGGCTTCGTTATCCAGAGTTGACAGAAGAAGAATCTGAAATGCATTGAGTTCAATTTGCTAGGCCCAAGAAAAGTGCTGACAAGAGTCAGAGATAAGATTGAAACTTGCCTGTCCCCAAGACCAGGGTCCTCTCATAGTATCTTCTTACTGCCTCTGTGATGACATTCATCAAGATGACTCAGTGACCGCATAGAATTGAATAACTGTTAGATGAATATAAGAATTCACTGAGTCAACCAGAGTGGTATTCACTTGAAAGAACAATATATTCTACACCCATGTCTTTTTGGATGCTTAATATAATAGGAATCTCAAATGCAGCATGTTCCAAATTGAACCTGTGATCTCCCCAACAACCTTACCCACTACCTTCCTATATCCTCTGATGGCACTTCCATCCTTTTTTTTTTTTTTTTTTTTGCTTCCGCCCTTTATCTCAAACTCCATAGCTGAATGATTGATCACCCTATACTCTATGTCTTCATTTCAAAATATATTCAGAATTGGACCACTTCCGACCACCCCCATCACTATTCCAAGGGACTCCATTATCTCTTGCCTCCCAATGGCTGGGGTCTCCCAACAGGTCTTCCTTGCAGCCCTCATCCCTTTCTCTTCTCAACTCAGCAGTTAGAGGGAGCAGTAGAATGAGTCTCCATGTTGCTGAGTGATGACCTACAAAGCCCTTGCGATCTGGAACTTGTCTCACTGACTTCATCTGTCACCCATTTGTTCTCTGTGCTTAAGTCCCACTAGTGTCTCCTAAACATGCTGGACACCTTCCTTCCTTCAAACACTCTTCTTCATGTGCTTACCATCACATGGCACCTTGTCCACTTCTGACGCTGCCCACATCTGGGCACAGTAACTCACTGTCTTAGTCTGTTACTATGTTAACAAAGCAAGAATATGGAGACTGGGTGATTTATTCAAAACAAGCAAACAAACCTAGAGGCTTATTTGGCTTATTCTGGTGACTGGAAAGTCCAAAGAGAGAGAAGGGGTCTGGCCTCATAGAGCAGTGGTTAAGTGCTTTGCATAGGAAGCTAGATCCCGTAGGGCTACTGCAGTTTGAGTCCTGGCCCAGAAGTCTGAAAAGCATGCTGGGTGGGTGTGCATGGTGCCCAAAATCCTGACAGGAAGAAGACATGGAGAAGAAAGGATTGCAATGTGACCACACCTCATTGTAGAGTGCTTTCTCTCTTTTCCTCTCTCCCTGGCTAGCACACGTATCCTCTGGCAATTGAAAAGAGAGAAGGGCAGGCGCGTGCAAAGAAAGAGGAAACAGAATTCTCTGTCTCTGTTATGCTCCCAGCTGATAGGATGGTGCCTTCCCATCAGACGCCCCCATACCCCATCTTAAAGGTCTCACTACCCCACAAAGCCCTTACACTCAGGATTAAGCTTCTAGAACATGAACTTTGGGGGAGCAAAACATTATCCAAACCATAGCCCTTATCTAAGAATCTCACAAAATAGGTACTATTCTTATTCCTTTTGAAAGATGGAGAAATTGAAGTGTAAGGATTAAAGGGCACTAAGAAAGTCCATGCTCTTAATCATTTCGTCTATGCCACCTTAAAAAGAATGGCTTACAATCACACACCAGCATTTTTTAAAGTTTATTCCTTTCACCAGACAGAGAGACAGAGAAAGAGAGTGCTCCCAACAGGGTCTGGGTGCCTCAATCCACCCCTAGCTTCAGGCAGCTCTTTTTTCTTCTTGGAGAAGTTTTTCGCTATAGGGCGCATGCGCTCGCCAGACAGAGAGAGAGAGAGAGAGAGACATAAAGCAAGAAATCACCCCCCAGGGGGGATGGTCACGCCGCAATCCCTTCTCCATTCTCCTCTCGGGATCTTGGGCACGCACGCACACGCGCCCGGCGTGAGTTTTAAGCCACCAGGTCCAGGACGTGAACCACGGTCGACTACGTGGGAGTCCAACGACATAGCCATTACGCTAACTGCTGGTTCCCAACTTCAGGCAGCTCTTGATCATGGGCACAGGTGTGCCCAGCATACTCAGGAAGGTCTTCAGGCACAAACCTGGCACCTTCCCATGTGGGTCACCTTGATAGTTCAATTCCTGATATTTCTGAACTCTTAATCTCTTTGACCCATCAGACAGTGGATATAAATGTATACTTACAGGCATTTGCTGCGTGACTCAGTTACATTTTCCTTCTCTTTCAGTACAGAGACTTTGTTTAGCCATCATACTCTATGCGTACACACACACACACACACACACACACACACACTAGGTTTTTGCCATAGGGCACATGCACTTGAGAGAGAGACAGAGAGCGAGAAAGTGAGAGATCACCTCCCAGGGAGGATGGCCAAACTGCAATCCCTTCTCCTCCATTCTCCTCCTGGGATTTTGGTCTTGCAAGCAAATATGCCCAAAGTGGTTTTCAAGCCACCAGGTCCAGGACTCAAACTGCAGTCAGCCATGTGGAAGTCCAACACTTTACCCACTATGTCACCTGCAGGCCCCCATACTATATTTTACACAACAAAGATCTTCATGGGTTTTGACTTTTTCCTGGTTGGAAAAGAAACTTCATAATCCCTTCCTAAGAATAGTTTGTTCTTCTCCCTCCCTTCTGCTCTTCACCAACTCTTCACTCATCAATAGGGAGATTAATGTATTTGAAAGTACTGAAGTATGGGGCCAGCAGATGGCACCATCACTGGGCTCCCACTTGGTCGACCGAGGTTCAAGTACTGGATCCTGTGGCTTGAAAATCATGCTAGGCATGTGTGCGTGCATGCCCAAGCTCCCAAAAAAATAGTGGAGGAGAAGGGGGGATGACCACTTTCCCTCTCACTGTCTCTGTCTCTCTCTCTCCAGAGAGTACATGAGCCCTGGTGAAAAACCTCTCAGAAAAAAAGAAAGTACAGAAGTATAACAACTTTTAGAGACCACTGACTCCACTTATACAATCTATGAATAACGGAAGAAATGAGCAGATCTCTGCTACTGGTAGTTGGCTTTATGGAAGGGGAGCTTCCAGTTTTTCTGTTTGTGGAATAAGCACAAGAGCGTGTGGATAAAGATGCTCATTACAGAGTGACTTTTAAGATAAAGGGAAAGGGACTAGAGAGGAGAGTGAATTTAGATAAATCATCAAGGAGCAAAAATATGACAAAAAAGAAGTGAGCATAATCTTAAATTTGGGGATGAGTGAAGAGTGTAAAATGTAAAAGGTCTTCGATAAATCTTTAGTATTAGCCATCCAAATTCTAAATACTTAACAAACCCACAGATTATCATTATGTCACTGACCCTTCTTTTCCAGCTGTCCGAATAAATGTAATATCTGTGAAAAAGTCTTCAGTAATGTGAAAAAATAAATGACAAATGCAGTATGCACTTTTTTCTCTTGTAAAAGCTTTAACATAATTTTTTTTGCTCTTTTTCACCCTTGTTTCATAGTCATTAGTAGTAAAAATCACATGCTAATTAGTAAATATAGCACATAAGAGCTCCTATCTTCTAAACTGGGAGTATCTGTATGCCGGGCACCCTGCTTGGTTGTTCAAATCCATTGCCTCATTGAATCCTCAATAAAGCCTCAAGAAATGGACCTATTATCCCCATTTTATAGGATAGGAAACTGAGACCCAGAGATGCTAAGTAATTAAAATGTAGGCCCCAAGAAGATGGGTTTGCGTGTGTGTGTGGGTGTGTTTAATAATTATTTTAGGGACCAGCAGGAGGCGTGGTGGTTAAGGTGCTGGACACTTCCACATGGCCGACCACAGTTCAAGTCCTGGACCTGGTGGCTTGCTTTCTCACTTTCTCTCTCTCTCTCTCTCTGTCTCTGGTCAAATGAAAATAAATGAATAAATCAAAAAAATATTTTATTTTACTTTATTTATTATTATTATTTTCCGATTTTGATCAGAAAGACAGAGCGAAAGAGACAAAGCGAGAAAGCAAGACACCAGGTCCAAGACTCAAACCGTGATTGGCCATGTGGGAGTACAACACCTTTAACCACCACACCACTTGCTGGCCCCAGTTTTTTGTCTTTTAAAAAAACTACCAGGACAGCCTATAGTCTAATGGTTAGGGAAGCCAGATCCCACATGGTCAATGACAGTTCAAATCCTGGCCCGTAACTTGAAAAACATACTGGCACATGTTTTTCACAAGTAATGGTAATCTTAACAGGATAGAGAAATGGAGGAGAAGGAATTGCAGTGTAACGAGGCTCCCATAGTGGACTGTCTTCCTTTCCCTGTCTGTTTCCCTGTCTTCCTGTCTCTCTGTCTCTCTCTGGCAAGCTCATGTGTCCTCTGGTAATTAAAAAACAAACAAACAAACAGGATAAATTTTCCTGTCTTCCAACCTAGAACTGTACCTGACACATATTAATCCCAAATCTCATAAAAGGTGAGATTGTGCCAAATCAGAAGTAATTACTATTAATATTTGGACAGCTTTTCAAACACTTCTCAGATGGTTGTGTACATTTTTTTTATTCACACTATTCTTATTCGTTTGCAATTATTTTGTCATTTACTTATATAGTAGACTGATAAATATTTACATTTTTAAAATCATTCCTAATAGAAAGCACATGCATTCATGTACTAGAGAGAGAGAAAGAAAGAAGCACCCTTGGCAGGGTCTTGACACCATGACCCCTCTCCCCACCCTCCAGCTCATCAAGGTTTTAAATGCCTCTTACATGTTTAGGCCAGCCCAGGGATTCAAACACACATCAACTACATGGCTTTCAGCACTGCCATGTAGCCCACCAGATAGTGCCAACTATGCTGGGCTTACAGCATCATTGTAAGGGACCACACATCAATCCATTTCATGGGTATACTAGAGTTATTTAACCAACTCTCTATTCAACGACACTGAACAAACATTATTATACATCTCTTCTTGCCCACTTGGATAATTATTGTCTTGGGATGACACCTAGATTAGAATCTCTGGGTCAAAGAATCTGTGTGTACTCTGTTCTCTGAAACCAGTAAATGCTAGGCATCTCTGGCAGTTGAATTTACCTGCTTCATATGGTGATTACAGAACTTTTAAAAATGTATTTCCTTTTCTTTGGACAGGCCCAGGAGACAAAATGTCATCAAATGTATCTCCGGCATCAGTGCATTTTGACGGTAAAAAGAAATCAATCAATGAGAATTCACTTTACCTAGTAGGGTTAGGCTCCATAGCAGATCAGGAGAGTAAAGAAATGGTCACGTTAACAATACGCATTAAGATGCAAGGAGTTCATCCCCTACCTGCTGAGAGGATTCTGTTGTACTTTTTAGCTGCAAAGAAAATAATTCTAAAATTAGGGGTGGATTAAACGGTCATATTGAGCTAGATTGTAAGAGTTTCTCATGACATAAAGCAATGAATTCCTTGTCAAAAAGGACATGTGTAACTAAAGTGTATTAAAATCTGTCCTTTTTTGATCTTTTTCATCCTCTTTTCTTACCCTTCATTTTTTTAAATATACAAGGAATTAGAATTTCTGAGCGTACCAGGAATACTTTTTTTCCCACTTAAAATTTTGATAAAAATTTAAAGATTGACTAACACCCAGAATTTCTTCCAAGTAACAGGCTCTCTATAGGCATCCTTTCTGGAAGACAATTTGCACAATATCTCTGAATTTAGAATTGGCCACAAATGATAGAAAATCTAAACCAACAGTGACTTAAACATGATAAGAGATTTATATTCCCTCTGACAAACAAAGTCTGGATTTAAGAGCCAGGCAGAGCAATACAACTAAGTTCTGGCACCCAGGGTAGAGTATATTTTCAACTTTCTCTAGAGGCAGATATAGCCATATGACTTAAGTTCTGCACAAGCAGCTGTCAGTGGAAGTGGTGAGTGCAACTCGAGGTGTGCTCCCTGCTCCTGTTTTCTCCTCCTTGCCGTCAGGAATGTGGGTGTGATCCCTGGGGCAGAAGCAGCCATATTGGACCAAGAATATAGCAACAGGGTAGAAAGAGCCAGGGCCTCTGCTGTGAGCCTCTAGGAGGGCCCTGGGAATCGTATTTGCATTCCTGTCCCTAGTGCATGAGGGTCCAGTTTCTCCACATCCTCCCCAGCACTTGTTATGACCTTGATTTTTTCTTCTTAAGACTCTTTAGACTGGACAGAGGTTCCCCCTAAGGGTAGTGGCTGAGTTCATTACAGCTGAAATGATACTGTAAGGGTAACAGGTGGTAGGAAGAAACAGTTCTTCATATCTCAACATACAATCCCACTATTCTGTTAAAGACTCCCTTATTGTATGAACTCATTCCCTTCAATACACTGAGAGCTGTGCTCGGTGCCATGGGAAATAGAGAAGTTGAGGCTCCTACCCACAACATCCGGGCACGGTGACTCTGCCCTCAGTTGGGGCAGTGAGGCTGTCTACATCCTATCTTCTCAGAGACCCCCTCGCCCCCCAGGCCCCGCTCACTCTTCCCTGACTGGGAGGGCCTTACTGTTCTGATCAACAGAGAAGAGAAGATGAAAGGTTTTCTTTCTTTCTCTTATTTTTTTTTTCAGATAGAAGAAAAGATGACTCAGTCAAAAAGGACAGGCCTTATAAGATCTTTTTCAAAGATCTTTTTCTTTTCAAAGAAAATGAAATGATAGAAAAGAGAAAGGTAAGGCTTTATTTAAAAATAAAAGTCTCAGTTAATGTTAGACTCCTCTTGTGTCCATCATTCTTATGAATGTTGCTGAATTAAGACATGGCGTCAGCTCTTAACACTCAGCGTAAACTCTGGTCTGTGCTGGGGGGACAATGTGAAGAGGGAGGGCAGAATAACATCTAGCACATGGTGGGAGGAAGACACACCCCTTCAATCCAGGGTATGCATGATAGATCCTCCTTCATTGACCTACACCCACATTTTCCATAGTTCAATATTGCTGCAGTTGGGCTCTAGTTTACATAGACGGAACATCATACAGCAGGGTCTATGCCCACAATAATAGTGCATCTTACAATAAGTAGATCTTAGAGTTGAGGAAATACAGTAATAGCAACACGCAAAGAAAATATAGAGAAAAGGGGGTCCCTGTCTTTGTTGGTGAGAAGAGGCAGAAGAAGGAGGTGTGGAACACAAAGATTTCTCTGCGGTAACAGGAGCGAGTCTCCAAGAATAAGTCCAGGTTTGCCAAGCGGATATAGATAAGACAATATATGTAAGTTAAGGGAGTTCTCTGCGGTAACAGGAGCGAGTCTCCAAGAAGTCCAGGTTTGCTAAGCAGATATGGATAAGACAATATATGTAAGTTAAGGGAGCGGCAGGGGGAGGAAAGTGGTATAAAAGGCAGGGGAGGGGGTGTCACCTTAGAATTATTTGGTATGAAGCTAAACTAGCAATGAGGCTGCCTCTCCGACCTGTGCCTTGCAGGGTTAAACTCATGACCTGTATGGCCATACCTTACGTTGCCTGGTTCATACTTCAAGGGAATTTCTTCTCAGAGGTAAAGGCAGATTACAGGACTTTTTTTGTTTGTTTGTGGTTTTTTGAGAGGTTTTTGCTATAGGGCATGTGCACTTGCCAGAAAGACAGAGCGAAAGAGAGTGAGAAATCCCCCTCCCCAGGGCAGATGTCCACGCTGCAATCCCTTCTCCTCCATTCTCCTCTCAGGATCTTGGGCACGCACGCACACGCGCCCGGCGTGAGTTTTAAGCCACTGGGTCCAGGACGTGAACCGCGGTGGACTACATGGGAGTCCAGCAACTTAGCCATTACGCTAACTGCTGGCCCCACAGGACTTTTTTAAAAAATTATTTTATTTGTTATTATTATTATTCAATTTGGCCAGAGAAAGGGAGAAAGCAAGCCACCAGGTCCAGAACTTGAACTACAGTCAGCCATGTGGGGGTTACATCATGCCAGCTGCTGGCCCCTATAGGATTTTCTTTAATCACTATGAGAGAACTATCTAGAAACACTGAAGAACTGATATATCTGTGATGGTTGTTGTGCATTGTTGTTGAATTTACCCAAAATAAAACTGAGAAGAGATGAATGAAATTGGAAGCCTAATTTTAAAATATTGCCTGGGGTGATTCATTTCTTTTCAAGTTGTCACTTCCACAGAAATGGCAGCAAAGAAAACTCTTGGGGTTTCCAAGTTTTACCTGTATTGGGGGCAAGACAAAATTGTGAAAATAAAACTAGAGAACATTTTTCAGCCTTGTATTTGTGACATATCTACTTAATAAGAATTCATTTTTTTTTAGACATATTTGCTCAACTTCTTCTAGGAAGGAAATTATACTATTCTTCAAAGAAGGAATGCTTACTTTTTTAATATTACTATCACTTGTTGCAAATGACAGTTTTCTATACAATCACTACTTTCAGACAACATTATTTTGGCATATTAAAAATTCCCTTAAACTTTTCCACTTGGACAGGAAAAAATCATGAACCGTAGCATGAAAATCTACCAAAAGTCAACTTTTTCATCCCGAATGAAGAGTCGTTCGCACCTGAGTCAATTAGCGTTTTATGCTGACCCAGGGGGTGCCACATTTGAACATTTTGGGTTAGATCCCACACTTATTCTCAGGTTAACAGAAGGTAAGTCTTGATTACTTGGTTTTTTGTTTGTTTGTTTGTTTTCAGATTTTCTTGTCAAAGGGCATGTGCACTGGCCAGAGAGAGACAGAGAGAGGGAAAGTGGGAAGTGACCCCACAATGGGAGGATGGCCACACTACAACCCCTTCTCCATTCTTCTCTCAGGATTTTGGGCACACACGCACACCTTCGTGGCATGTTTTCAGGCCGCCGGTGTGGCCATAGGGGATCTAGTCATCCCAACGTCTACACCATCTGCTGGCCCCAGTCCATCAAGAACATTATTTTGAATATTTATTATTAATGTCGGGACTGGAAGCTTTTCTGAGGGTGAGGAAAACAGAAAGTATCAACATATGGTCTCATAGTGATGGGGGCATGGGGTCTTTGTAAATAAGGATTGGTATTTGCAGTAAAAACTATTTTAAATAAGAAAATATAGTGGGGCTAGCAGGTGGCATGGTGGGTTAGGCACTGGACTCCCTAACTGTGGTTTGACTCCTGGGCCCAGTGGCTTGAAACTCATGCTGCTGTATATGCATGCATGCCCAAAATCCCAAGAGGACAATGGGTAAGAAGGGATTGTGGCATGACCATCCCCCCTGGCATGTGATTTCTCATTTTTCCTCTCTCTGTGTCTCTCTCTCTTTCTCTCTTCAGTGAGTGCACATGCCCTATGGCAAAAACCTAAACATAAATAAATAAATAAGAAAACATAACTTTTTTTTTTTTTGGAGAAGTTTTTGCTATTGGGCTCGTGTGCTCACCAGAAAGACAGAGACAGACAAAGAGACAGAAAGGGAGAAACTACCCCCACAGGGGTAGATGGCCATGCTGCAGTCCCTTCTCTTCTATTCTCCTCTCGGGATCTTGGGCACACATGCACACGTGCCCAGCGTGAGTTTAAGCCACCGGGTCCAGGACTTGAACCACAATCGACTACTAGACGCAGAACTCTGGAGGCTGGTCCTCACACCCCTGAGTGATGGGAAGTGCTCTGGGTCAGAGAAAACCACTTTGGGAAGGACTTTATCATCTAAGATCACTAGGTTGAAAAATCTACCTTATGCCTGATACCTAGAATAACCAAAATGGGAAGTCCTCTATAATGAGTCTAACTAGCGTCAAAGAATACAAATCCCATCAACCTAGCCAGATAGCACCATGTTAAAGTAGCCTGGAATGGTGAGCGTGGTTCTAGTGTTTAATAAACTGACAGTGTAGGAATTTTTTTAATATTGAAATTTATTTTCAATTCAGCTGGCCCATCATAAGTGACCAAATAAAATCTATGGTAAGCTTTTTTTTTTTTTTTTTAGATTCTTGCCATAGAGTGCATATGCTCACTGGAGAGAGACAGAGACAGGGAAAGTGAGAAACCACCTCCCCACCCCCCGCCAGTGGAGATGGCCACACTGTATAATCCCTTCTTTTCCCATCTCATTCTGGAGTCAGCACAGATGCACACATGCCCTGTGTGATTTTCAAGCCGCTGAGTCCAGGACTTGAACTGCTGCTAATAATTATTGTGAGAATCCAGCCCATTAACCGCCACACCACCTGCTGGCCCCAGTAAACACTTTTTTTTTCCCCTATTAAAAATGTTGGAGTGAAGTTGTCTCTGGGGTGCAATGAGGGTGCACTGCTCACATGGTAACCATGATTCCAGTCCCTTACCAGGTCAGCCTGAAACACCCCAGGCACGTGTGCAAGTGCCCAAGATCTGATGGGCTGGAGGACTCCAGGAAAGCGGTCCCAGTGTGAACAGAACCTATGGAGGCTGCTCGTCCTTCTCTGTCTTCCTCTCTGCCTCTCATGTATATGCACACACTTTATCATGAGTAAAGAAAACATTTTTTAGGAAATTGAACCTGATCTAATCAAATAAATACAATGAAGTGAGGACCATGCTAAATAACACCAGAGGACAACGTATGCCAGATCCATTAGTGGGAGACTCTGTAAGGAAATTGACCTGGTTTCTTGAGCATATAAATGACGTGGAAAAATGGTGGTGGAAAGTGAGGGGAAAGGGACGTGGGTGGCTCTTTTGTTTTCTTTTTCTTTTTTTAAAGAATTATTTATTTATGTTCACATGAGTCTTGCCAGAGAAAGGCAGAGAGAGAGAGAGAGAGAGAAAGAGAGAGAGAGGAGAGAGAAAGTAAGCCACCAGGTACGGGATTCAAACCATGGTCAGCTATGTGGGAATTTCAGTGCCTTAACCACCATGCCACCTGCTGGCCCAAGGTGGGTGGCTCTTACTGATTTTAAAAAGATCCTTTAGGAGCCATACCAAGCTGTTTAGATTTTAATTTTTAAAATATCAGAAAGGCATTTTTGAGACAACTGAGGAAATTTGAAACCAGGCTAGATATAAAATGACACTAAGAAATAGTTCATTTTGTTAGGAGTGATAGTGATATAATAGCTATGTTTTAAAACTTGTTTTATTTTTGTAATCTGGTAGAGTTACATACTAAAGTATTCATGTATTAAATGATACAAGGGCTTGATTTGCTTTACAATATTCCAGTGAGGAAAATAATTGAGGAGAGATGGCAATAGGTGAAACAAGATTGGCAAAATTCTGATAATTGTCAAAATAGGTGACAGGTATGTGGAGGTTCGTAATATAACTCCCCACTTTATGAATGTTTGTGATTTCCATAATATAAAGGGTTTTTTTGAGTTCTCT